CCACCTTAGGTGTACATGGCTAGCACCTTAGCCGGTTGAGCTATAGGCGCCGAGCCCTTTTTTTTTTTTTTGATATGAAGGTGAACATTCCTGATTTTTATTTGATGTGGAAAAACCTTGTTATTTTACATTTTGAAAATTCACAGCAACTTAACTTGATATAAAGTTTGCATTCTACTCAGGAAAAAGCATCTTCTATTCTTAATTTTTAAATGCATCTTTCTTTGTCCTCATATGGAAAGCTCTTAGTTGATTTTGTCTTTGCTTGGTATTTAAAAATCATAACATTTTATCTTTTAAAAAGACAGACTTCACATTTCCGTGTTCTTAACTGCTAATGTTGTGTAGTCTTTGATAAGTGGAGATAAGCAGGTTGGAGCATTCAGTGCATTTTCAGGCAGTGGTTCTCAGCCTGTGGGTCTTGACCCACAGCAACTGTATTAAAGGGCCGTGGCCTGGGGAAGGTTGAAAACTGCCTTAATCCTTAAGGAATTAAACATACAGTTTTCACCTTACGTCAAGGGGAGGACTGTGTTAGCCACAAGAAGGGGAAAAGTCATAAATGCTCACATTGATCCACTGACAGTTTTGTAATAGATGAATTCTGTAATGTCCTCTTTTTTGAGGCTCTGTTGCTGTGGAAATCCATTGTTATGGTATCATACTGTACAGCAGTTTTCTTTAAAGGTCTCTTCTTTAGAATATTAAATATTCTACCATTAAAGAGTTTGGACGTGTAATTTGTGATGCCTTAGAATAATATCCTAAGTATACAAAATAAACTTTTCTAAGCACTCACTAAAGCTGAAGACTGGTACGATTTCTGGGTGCTTATTTGAATGTATGCTTTATTGTTTGGTATTTAATAGTGTTCAGATGAGTGGGTGTGTGCCACTGTGTACGTACTTGGTATGTGTAATCATAAGTCTGTCACTTGAGATGGTGGAGGAAGATAAAAGCATTATGTTTTTTAGTGTTTGATATTATCAAGTTTTAATTTATTTAGTTTTTATTTTATTTTTCGAGACAGTATCTCAAGCTCTTGCCCTGGATAAAGTGCCATGTCATCATCATAGCTCACAGCAGCCTCCAACTCTTGAGCTCAAGCAATCATCTTGACTCAGTTTTTCAATTTTTTTTCATCTTTTTTTCTTCAGTTTTTCTATTTTTAGTAGAGACAGGGTGTTGCTCTTGCTCAGGCTGGTCTCAAACTTGTGAGCTCAAGCAGTCACCTGCCTTGGCCTCTCAGAGTGCTAGTCAAGTTTTAATTTAGAAAGTCCTATATTAAGGAAACTTAAAAGTAGGCTGAACAAATAGGGTTTTAATATTTTATAAAACATTCAACCTCATAGTTTTAAAGATTGTCCAAAGTGGTTTCTCATGCCTATAATTGGGGGAGGCTGGAGTGGGAGGATTGCTTGAGGCTACTTGTAGACCAGCTTGACAACCAAACAAGACCTAGTTTCTACAAGAGAAAAGAAAACTTAGGTGGATGTGATGGTGCACACCTGTAGTCCTGGCTACTCAAGAGGCTGAGATAGGAGGGTCTTTAGAGCTTGACAGTTTGAAGCTACAGTGAGCTGTGATACCACTGCACTTTTGCTTAGGCAACAGAGTAAGAATCTATCAAAAAAAAAAAAAAAGGATCATCACTATAGTCATAGTGACAATAATTTTCTTTTGAAGACAGGCTTGCAGAAATGATAAGGGATCACCTGCAAATGGTTCAGGTGGGAATAAAGTATAGCACCAGTAACATCCTGGAGAATTCTCACCCATGCACCCTCATGATTGTTCAGCTCTACCACTCATGTACTGTAAATTCTGGTCTCTAGTGGAAAATGCACGGTTTTACCAAATAATTGCCTAAATGTAATACTTAATGTTATTTATCAGCAAGATTGAAAATAATTAAAATGAAGATTCCTGAGTTTATCTAATAGCTACCACACTAAGTTGTTTCCTTTATTCATTTAATCCTAATAGCTGTCGCATAAGACAGGTAGGCATTACACATTTTTCAGGTAAATAGGCAATTATTGTAGAATTTTAATCTAGTTTTGCCCCATTTTTATCCTATCTTTCAGTATGAGTACTGAAAGTTTAGCATATTTGGTCTTAAAATGTCACTCCTATCAAAATATAGACATCAGTGCTATTCAGAAATACTGTAATTAGGCAATATTTGCAGTCTTGTGATGTTGCCCACTGCAGAAAGAAAGTTAATAGCGAATGATGCTTTTGAGAGCAATTTATCTCCAGGCGGTTGTGTCCTTATTCAACCCTTTGCATAAAGGTCATAGTTATAGACTTGATAATGATGAGATCAACATTTTGAATGAACATCTCATATTTTAGGATTAGCTAGGACGTTCTAATTCATCCCTGGTCAATTTAAGGTAGAGTTCTTAAATTACTTTTGATGTCTTTTATTAATGAGATAACTGAATTGGAATTTTAATTAGTGGTCTTAGGGATTATAATTCTGAATGTAAGTCTTTTCCTCTTTAAAATTTTTAAATAGAACATTTTTGGAGATTTAAGTGTGTTGGTATTATGTATCTTGTAACTTGTGTTTATTTGAAACCATTAAAACTAGAGTAACAAATTTTTTTTTTTTTTTTTTTTTTTTGAGACAGAGCCTCAAGCTGTCCCCCTGGGTAGAGTGTTGTAGCATCACAGCTCACAGCAACCTCCAACTCCTGGGCTCAAGCGAGTCTCTTGCCTCAGCCTCCCAAGTAGCTGGGACCACAGGTGCCCACCAGAATGCCCGGCTATTTTTTGGTTGCAGCCGTCATTGTTGTTTGGTGGGCCCAGGCTGGATTCAAACCCGTCACCTTAGGTGTATGTGGCTGGTGCCTTAGCCACTTGAGCCACAGGCCCCGAGCCTAGAGTAACAAATTTAAGTTGGAAGTTTGATGATAAAAGTAGCAAGGTCAAATTATATACTTGAAAAGTTCTAAATTTTCCCTCTTTTCCTCAATTATTTTTAATTGATAATGTGTTATTTATGGAATATAGTGTGATATTTTCATCTGTATGTGAGTTTCAGAAAGATTTGGTCAATCTAAATCCATCACCTCCCTAGGTTAGTTTTTTTCTTTCCCATTGGACTAGTAACGTGCTGACCTGATGACAGGGTTTGAGGGAGGGTGAAAACCCAATCCTCATGCATTTGAACTACAAAAGGATTTCAGTTATTTTTTTGGTGCTGAAAACATTAGTAATCTAACAATTTTGAAATGTTATTAACAACTTGAGTCACCATGCCATGCAGTAGGTTACTAAAACTGACTTCTGTTTAACGGAAACTTTGGTCGACATCTCTTTCCTTATCATTGCCAGTCTCTGGTAACTACTTTTCTACTCTCTGTCTCTATGAGATGACGTTTCTAGTGGATATCCAGCACGTGGATGTCCAGTTTTCGCAATCACTTCTTGTTGAGAAACTTATTTTCCCATTGTGTGTTCTTGGCCCTTTAAAAAAAAAAATGAATCAAATATTTGTTGATTCATGAATCCTGTTCTACTGGTCAATGTATCTGTCTTTATGGCAGCCGTACTGTTCTGATCACAGTAGATTTATAATACATTTTGAAATAGGGATTATAATGCGTCCAGCTTTGTTCTTTTTCTTCAAGATTGCTTTGGCTATTTTGGGGTCTTCTCTGCTTTTATACAGATTTCAGGATTGACTTTTCTACATCTGTGAAAAATGAGATTGGAATTTTGATAGGAATTACAGTAGAACAGTTAACCACTTCCCTATGTTGACCACCTCTTTAAGTTGACCTAATTTTCTAGACTGGACGTGCACCATATATACTCAGTGGAAGACTGACCTCTATCAACCAACTCTTAAGTTTTATCTTGACCATTTGGGCTATGACACAGAATTTTGATTTTCCATCTGTTACTTGACTAGGCGAGTCCACTCTGCACCAAAGGTTGTGGGCTTTGCCCCTTAATTGTATTGTTTTTTCTTTAAGTTCTTTCTTTTTGTTTCTTTATTACCATGTGTTGGATTAGCCTAACATCCTATTCTTTCTCATATCACGTAGAAGAGCTTTTCAGTGTGAAAGACTGGTCTGAATTGTAGGCACATCTTACAATTACTGAAAAAAGTTTATGGTTAAGACATGACAGGCCAAAGCAAAGAGCATGAAGAGCTGACATTGAAGGAAAAGGTTGATTACATTTTCTGGAAAGCAGTAAAAAGATAGCATAACATTTTGGTGGTAGCAAGACCATAGTTAGCAACATCCATAAACAAACGTGAGTCCTTGGAATGATGTAAGGAAAGTGGAGACCTACAGAGGAAAAGGAGGTAAAACTTCCCTCCACGAAGTCCATGAAGCCACGTTAAGCTGGTTCAAACTAATGAGGGCAGGTAATGCCCAAATCTCGGGCTGGTTATCTAAGATGTGCTAAAAAATTCATACAGAAG